TACTATATCTGGCAAATTCCCTCAAGACTCAGAGTTTCTTCCCACAACTAAAATGTAGTGATGAGAAAATCAGCAATTTCAATCAGGGTCACTGGGGTAGTGAGAGCCAAGTCCCCCTGCCCTTAGTTCTTGCTTTGAAAAACATGATTTTAAACAGGATTGCTGTGAAAAGCATCCCATTCCACTCCTAATAATTCTGGTTAACACCTATGCTAAAAAAAAATTGTTTAGATTTTTTTAGAATTCTTATTTCTTACAAATATTTCCTGACTTCTTGATTGTAACAGGCATTAACATTGATACACATTTCATCTTTTTATATATTACTCTAGAACAGTGTTTCTCAATCTCAGCAATTTTAAGATGGGTGGACTTCAAGTGGTAAGGGAAATTTGAGGAATTGAAGTTTTTTAACCCAAATGTGATGACCCTATGTGATTCTGTAATGACAATACAGCAGCCTCCTATAAATATACTTGGCATCATAAATGCATCAGTTTGAAAAGGTTCCACTATAAAAATGCCATCAGGGATTAAACCATCCCAAAATGAGCAGTCCTTTAGTAATTCTACATAATTAATAGAACACAATTTCCCTTGGAATATTAAATTACCAAAATTCCCATACAAGCTACTATTTTTAAGTGCATTTTAAAGTAAAGACTTTCCAGCTAAAACTGCAGTAGCCTAAGCACACCCACATACACACTGTTGCCACACACTATCTAATTGGCATACCTTTGAGAAATGTTTCAAACAGAGACAAAGAGGTAAAGAACTGTACAGTACTATTAACAGTTATGGTCATTATTAAGGATGTTACTAATCTAACAATTATGGAGTGACAAACCATCTATAGTCTTGAAATTGAGCCAAAGGTCATCAGCTCAGATGTCTGCATATTCAGTGCAACTATTTTTCGGAAATTGGTTTATAAAAGTGTAGCTAATTGAACACATTAAGGAAAAGTTCTGTGCAAATATATATTAACAATTGTGTGGGATTATGTTCTAGAGAACACATGGGTCTTGCTTGTGAATAATTGCAAAGGATTATACTGTCCTATATTTTTTTAACACACACACAACATTTATTTATGCAATGTGGGATTGATCTTATGCACCAACTCATAAACTTTTAGTCTAGTATCACTTGACTTTATTGGGAAGGTGGTGAAAAATGAGCAGCCCTATTTTCCTAGACTAAAGCATGCTTGTGTCATCGTGTGAATTACAGTAATAACTGGAAAGCAAACCTGTTGGCAGGATTCATACAACACAGCCATAACGAGATTTTCTCAATTTTGCTCCAACATGTTATATAAATGTAAATTTGTGGTTTGGAAAGCAGGGCTTATGCTTTAACATAATGTTTGAGCTCAGTCAATTATTGCTTATTTAAGAAATCATAGCCAAACAAATCACAGCCAAGCAAATGATGACCTAGGATGCCCTGTGAATTCAGCCATAACATGCCTAATTCCTTAGCTAAGATTATTATGTTAGTTATTATAACAAATTACATTACATTCATTAGTTAATTACATTACATTTGATCATACTTCCTTCCTTCTGTAACTTCTCCTTTTCACCTCATATGTTGTTCCAGCAGTGTCTGCAACTCCTACATTACCATATTTGGGCTGCAAAAAATCCATATGACCTCTAGATAAAAGCAAAGAGTTCAGAGTTTTCTGGGTCCCTTTGCTGCTGCACAATGATTACCTGGATTTTTAAAAACTTATCCAATGCTCCAGAGCAGATTTTTAGGTGCATGGAGCCAGCATTCACTGTCCTATTCATTCCTCTACTCCTAAGAGAATATTATTACGACTTATGATGGTGTATCAGGATGCATTCTCAACAGTCAAATGGGAAATGATATCACTCGGCAAGAAGATTATGTCCATGACTGATTGAAATCACCAATTTCTAAACTAAAGCTGTTGGAATGGAAAGTTTAAATTTATGTGAACATCTAATTTACCACAGAGCTTTACTACTTTACCATGAATATGTGTGAAGAAAAAGCCACAATGAATTACCACTTAGCTTCCTAAGTTTCACAAAAAAAGAAGCCTTTGTTTAAAGGCAAAGGAATGAAAAATGCCCCTTGGGCAAGTAGCCTACTTTTCTATAATGCAGGCTATAAGGAATTTTATCTAATGGATCAGTTAGTCACAGGATAAAATCCATAGAAAGGGCAGAATGGTGAACAGCAAGATTAGAGTGTAAAACAGCAATGCCTGAATGTATTTTGAAAAGGCTACCATTACCAATATTAACACATATATTTCTCTTAAATATTGAAAGGAGGTTGCTGTCAATATCAGGATTTCCACTGCTAAAAAGCAAAAGTGAAATCAAGAATGTATGTTTCCAGATTTTGAGAAACATCTATAGTTGATAACTCAGGAAAAAATACTGTATCCATACTGTACAAAAATATGTGATCAAGCATAAAGAGATAAACCTTAAAGATAGCATATCTTCTTGACAATACCATAAAAGTATTCAAATGTGATTTTAATACTGAAAATCTGGAAAAGCTGCATGTTTCTCCACTTTCACAGAATCCTTAGTGTCAACCGCCGCCCATTTCAACACAGAAATGCTTCAGCACTCCCGATATGACTGTAGTAGTAATTGTGCTGATGTTGTAACAGCATGTCTTCAAAAGAACAAGTGCAAATAATTGGAATAGCCCCGGAAAATGGGTGGCCCAGAGCAGAAAGAGAATCAGACTTAAATCATGTTTGGAAAGTATATTAAAAAAATTATCTTTTAAAAATATAATAAGAAAGTGATTATTTAGCAAATGAAGCAGAAATATTGAATCAGATTAACCCAGATAAACTCAGATTTAAAAAAAAAACCACAAGAATTTGAATATTTAATTCTTAAATACTATAGGCTTTTGGTGTTCTCTTACATTTATATGCCTGTTTTTGCCGCCTTCAATTTACATACCTCTCCAACACTCTTCATTCTCCTTGGCTGCCCTTGCTATCTGATCATAAAAAAAAATCCATGGATCTTTATGATTTGGGGAAGCAAAAGTAACCAGGGAAATTGTTTGTTTAAGAAAAGAGGTATGATAATTCAAAATTAAGGTAAGGATAAAAACACACTGCATACCCAAATGCCCAAAACATATTCTCTGAGAACATGTTTCACATGTTTCAAACAAACAAATGAAAAAAAATGTCAATTCTTTTTTTTCCTAAAGCAGCCTTTTTCAGTTGGAATTTGGTAGGGATTTCATGAGAGATTGCAACTTAAAAAAAATTGAATCTATGTGCCATATAATGCTAACACTCATAGTAGTGGGAATTTTTATGCTGTAACTCAGTTGCTGGCTTGCCACTTTGTTGTAAACGTAAATATTACAAACATGGGTTGAGGAATATTATAAGTAATTTTTTGTGAGGTTTTTGCAATTTATTCAGAGATTCCTAAGCCCAAAAATCATTTTAAAAGTTCTTGTAGAATAAAAAGTTGAAAAAGGCTGCTGTATATATATATATATCCTTTGGCAGGGAAGCTATCTGGGTGACTTTGAGCCAGTTAAGTCTCTCTCAGTCCAACCAACCTTATAGTTGTTGACCTCTGGTTTTGCGTCGCAGCAAAATGGACACAGAAAGACAAGGCTCTGCCTTCCGTGCCCGATTTTGCCCTGTTGGGGGCCCTGAAAAGGGCCTAAAGTCACCCTGAAGAGGCGATAAAGAAGGAGGGGTGCCTTGTCAATCACAGAGAGACGGCAGTCTCTCTGTTCAATCTCAGGAAAGCCCTCTAAACTGGCAGAGGAAAGACCACCCACACCTCTGTGGCCGGCCATTAGCTGCTGACAACTGAAGAACAAAAGCTTTAATTAGCACGTCATAAATAGTATGTTTGGACTGGGTGAGAATATTGATCCTTTCTTCATTATTTTACAATTGAATTTCCTGGGAAAGGCTCCCAAGAAGCCTAAAACCTGACCAGATGTGAACAGAAGCGGTGTTTTAAATTTGTTATGGGGGACAGAAATACATAATACTGAAGTGAAAGTAATACAAAACTACAGTTTTGATAAATTGGAGAACTGAGATAATTGTTAAGGTTTTCTCTTGGGAAAAAATTATTGAGGTGAAATATAAGAAATCAACCCTTTGTTTTAAGAGTGGAAAATGGATTTTGAATGACAACTAGTGGTGGATTTAAGTACACCACCATAACTACCTCCTTGGCTGCTTGGTACAGCTGGCAATAAAGGAAAATATTTTGGCATATTTATCATTCTGACCTTCTTGGACTATAAATACCTACTGACCATGGACTTTTAATCTCAAGAACTAGTGGGAGAGAAAGAAAAAAATGACTTTTGAATACGTCTGGCTGCAGGGAGGTGAAATATTTTGAACACTTGGAACATTGTGGACTACAACTTTGCCTGAATGATAATTTTCAGGATACCTGAGACAAAGGATTACTATAAAATATTGCTATTAGGACTGGATTATAAAGGCTATATATAAATACCAGAAAACTAGAGGAAATCTTGTTCCACTCTTACTGAGACTGGTGATATCAGAGGATTTCTAGGAATGATGCCTCAAGAAAAAACAAATACCTTTCAGAAGAAAATACTCTCTATGTTAGAGCAAATTCATCAAACAATTGTTGCACAAAAAGAAGACATTTAAGAAACCATAATGAGATTAAAAATAACCTAGATGATATAAAGGACCAAATCTCCAAATTGAAGCTACAACTGGAAAGCTCCCAGACAACGACTACAAAGTATGAACAAATAAACCAGAAATCAGAGAATGAAGCAGAAGAAATGGATCTAGAGATGGAGGAGATTGGAGAAGGGATATATGGACTGCCATAAAAATCTAATACATAAGTAAATAAACTGAATATTGATTAAAAATATGGAAAATAAAATTTTGTAAAACCTCTAACCATCAATACCTATAGAGAAATGAAATGTCTAAAGGTAAACAGTTGTCCTACCTTCTTTAACTTGCCACTCTTGGTACCCACAAACACCACACTGTAGCCATTGTAGACATATGATGTAACAGAAGTCATCCGATCACGACCAGAAGTGTAAAGGGTCACTCCCTCTACTGGTATGGAACCTCCCAATGGCTGATTAATGTCCAATCCACAGAAGTTGTCATCTATTGGAACTGGCTGAAAGTGATAAAATATTTAAACACAAATATCAGTGAAAAGTGAACAGTAGAGCAACTTCTTGTATTGCTTTCTTTGGCTGCATCTATATAAGTAGTCCTCAATTTATGACCACAATTGAGCCCAAAATCTCTATTGCTGAGAGACACAGTTGTTAAGTGAGTTTTGCTCCATTTTATGACCTTTCGTGCCACAATTGTTAAGTGAATCACTGCAGTTGTTAAGTTGAACACATGATTCAGATACACAGCAACCATCAGAAATACACACCAGTTGCCAAGCATCTGAATTTTGATCACATGACCATGGGGATGCTGCAACTGTCATGTGAAAAATGGTCATAAGTCACTTTTTTCAGTGCTGTTGTGACTTTGAATGGTCACTAAATGCACTTCTATAAGTTGAGGACTACCTGTACTTACCTCTTCCCCTGTTGTATGAATAGCTTACATGCATTTCTAGAGGCTTATGACAGGGAGGAAGTGGTGGAATTCAAATATGTGAAGAGCTGGTTCTCTGTGTGGATGCTGCTTCCATTCTGGGCCTGGGCAACAAAAATTAGCCACTGGTTCTGCTGAACTGGTGCCAACTGGCTGAATCCCACCACTGCATGGAGGCATGAGGGTAAGGACAAAGGGAAGATCAGTGATGGGCAATGTCATTTTCTGACAATGGTTGCCAGCTAGTTCAGATGATGGGACCAAGGAAAGCGCAGATGATACTTTCTCCTGTTGTGATTTATTTGTCTGTTTTTTTGCAAGAAAAATAACAGCAGCAATAGAACTAAATGGAAGAAAATTACATAAGAATCTGTATTAAAATATCTTGCTTAACTCAGAAGAATTGTACAGCTCTCCCTAAGAAAAGGCCTTTCCCAGAATTGTTCTGCATCACTATCTCCATGTTAGGCTCCTTAAAAGGCTTATCTTTAAGTTTTTGTGTCTCATATTTGTAAGATGCTTTACAAAGCTACTCATATTTAGATGTTTACAACTACATAAAAACATTTCATCATTTACCTCTTTAATAACACAGCTCTGGTTCGTAACCCTTCAAACCTTTAGTTTTCTGCAGACTCAAAAAGGTTCAAAAAGCTGAAGTCTGACTTTGGTATGCCTAGATTAAATTTCCTGGATTCCATTTATTCAAGCTTGTCAGACAGATCTCGTGCTTCTACTTCAATGGGATTGAGATTGAATGATGAGAAATACACTATGTATAGTTTTCACAAAATCTGCATTAGGAATTAGTGCTGGTGTTTTTAAAAATTGCATAAGAAATAGGCCCGTAAAAGTGATTTGGTGAAATACCTTTTTGGTCTTTCCTTAATGTTGTGAAGAAACTAATGAAAGGTTCACTATAAGCACTCTCTGAATCTCACTAGTTTTACCTGGAGTATAATTATAATTAAGTGCCGTGTTGGTAAATACAGTACAAACCAGTATAAGCAATAAAGCAATATAATAATTAATATATTTCCTGTTTCTTCTCAATATAAGTTGATGGTGAGTAGCATGTTAAGTAAAATAGGCCAGATCCCTGCACTCTGAAGAAAACAAACTATGATTTTCTTCTTGTGACTACGGTATTTTGTCTTTTCCTAGAAACAGCCAATTTTATCCCATACATATTTACTTTGATGGAAAGCATTAACATCTGATTCTTTCTGACACCTTCTCTAGCAAGGAACTAGTTAAGGACATGGCAATCTGAGGAATAGCAGCAGGGATGGTCTGCATCATTTTACTCCAGCAAAATGTTGTAAACAAATTTTATCTTACTATATTTGAAGGAATAGATTATACTTACTGCCAATAATAGGAAATGCAGTTTAATATTTTGTAGGGAAACAGATTGGAGAAACTATCCTAAACAGCCAGTAGAAAAACTCTCCTTCTCTAATCAGAATCTGTCTGGTTAAGCATCCTATAAAGGTAATTGGTTTATGAACTCCCCATGTTTTGGTCTTATATTCGTTTTTTCTAAGTACAATTGTCATAACTAATGAGCACGTCAATCCGATGTACGTACATTTTGTAATTCACAGAGATTCTCGGTGAAGTAAAAGAAATATACGAGACTATATCTTTAGTTAAACAAAATTAAGACTAGTTCCGTTCCCCCAGTGTTTTTTCTTGCATTTATCATCTTGGTGCAGCAGTATTAATCAAGACAAAGAGGATAAAATGTCATTAAAATTGTTAGTAATGTTTAAGCTTTGTTCACAGAAACCTTGAGTTTCTTTATGAGTGTGTGTGTGTGTGTGTGTGTGTGTGTGTGTGTAGAGAAATAAATATATTATAATTAAATATATAAATAATAAATATATAGAATAAAATATTCAATAAGTATTATAAATATTATAATTATTTATATATATTAAAATAATGTAAGGCCTCCAAACCAATTATTTCTTACTTTTGGCCCCATTGCTTTAGCCAATACAAACTTCACTTTTCTATTATTATAATAAATGAATGAATTACAGTTTTCAATTTCATGCAGAAAATACTGTGTAATCACAACACCTACAAATGGGAAAATGTTTGACCATTACCATTCATACCTATTCTACACAATGGGTAAATCAAGTTGAAACTTCAGTAGCAGTCTTTTTAATTCCTGCCAGAAAATATGTTGAGAAAACATCCTCGTGAGATAAATTAAAAACTGAGCTAACAATTAAATCTGGTTTCACTTTCAGAAGACCTCTTCAAACTTCTTGCCAGGTAGCAAATTCTTAAATTCCATAATTTCTAACAGTGTTACTGCTAATATTCTCTATACTTTCCTTAAAGTAACCCTATTTAAAATACAGTATTCATTCTTACCGCCTTGGTACATTGGACATCTTTCCCTAGTAGCCAGTTGAGTTCCAAGTTGCCTTCCCCCTGGTAGCAAGATTGTAGCCGTTCCTTAATTTGGGCATTGATTGCACGGATGGGAAAAATGCAAAGTGCAGAGTCATCAGGGGGGTGGTGATACTGTTTTTGTCCCTTGGAAAAAATGGCAAAGAGGACATCATCCTGGGCAGTAATATTCAGGGATCTGGCAAGTACCTCCCCTGGCTTAGAAAGGTAAGCTGCCTGTAGTAGATGGTATTCCACATCACCTTTGACACAACCAAAGGGCAGAGAAACATAGGAGTGAAATTTAGGGTCATCCTTGCAGAGACGGACAATCCGAGATGTGTAGAAAAGGTCACTAGCCGAATTGATAGACACACCTTCGGGAGTCTCTGGCTGGACTGTCAGAAAATAAACAAAATTTCCACTGGCAAATCCATAGATATAGAAGATATCAAAGTGAGAGACTAAGGCCAATGTATCTGAAGGAATTTTGATTAGTGATGAAACAAAATCACTGTGAAGCTCATAATCCAACATAGCTGAGGATTCTGGATCACGTGGCAGCTTTCGGCTAGAGAGGGTGGGAAAGTAATCCTGCTTACCATCCACTGCTGTGCCAATGAATAGCTTCCCGTCTTCTCCCTCAGAACGAACTATAACTCCATACATAGTGCCAGTCTTGTTGACGCTGGAAAGGTAGTGTTCTTTCTTATGAGATGGCTCTACTAAGATGAAGAGGTCATCCAGGCGCAGCAGTTTACAGACACCTTGATAGAGACTCCCACAGGCCAGCAGCCTATTTTCTGAGTAATCAATGATCAGGAGCTTGTTAACATTGTTCGTCAGAGTCAGGATCTCAGTACAGGGTTGCACAATAAGTGGTGGGTAGCAGGACTTGTTGTCCTCTTCAGGTCCCGTCTTGTGATCTACCAAGACAGTCAAGTTTCCAGACAGCTTGTAAACCCGATTGATGGCTCCCACATAGACTGCTCCCGTTGTCTGATGGACTGTCAAGTGATTGAAAGTCCAGTCACGGTTCTCAGGATGAAATGTATTATAGACAGGAGTGCTGTTGATGTTTTGTGAAAAGCCTAAGAAAAGAAATACCAAGGCTACTGACCAGCCATCGGAGTCCCATGTCCGAGGCCAGAGCTTTCTCTGTTCCATCCTGTGGAGAAGAGCAAGGAAGAAAGGGAGCATATATCCCAAAACTCCCTCTGTGCGACTCTAGCCACAGTAGCTTTCTTTACATGGTTCTACAGAAAGGAAGAAAAAGAACAAAATGCACAGAACAGAAGATTAGATGGATGTCATCCTAGAGTTACAATTGAAGCAGACATTTCCATTAAAGGCTCTTTGAAATAAAACAAAGAGGTTTCTAAATCCATAAGTCACCTTCCCATTTGAGTAAGTAGTACAAGCTTTAGTGCTCTGTTCTGCCTCTGTGTATTAATTATTTGAAAATTTAACTGCTCATTATACGCTCTGATCCATGATTTTAAAAATATTTGTTTTTTACACATCCATCTACCCAAACAGCAGATCTAAAAACACAAATGGGGCAGATATGGGGGTTTTTTCCTCTAGTTACAAGAAGATTTTTAATTAAAGAGAAAGATATCAAAAGTAGACCTAGCCTAACTATCTGGTTTTTATATACTGCATTTGTATGCACAGGAAACTCAATTCTTAGGCTGCATTTGCATTATCTGTGTTTGGCAAGTCCAAAGGGTACTGGCATAGTCAATATTAAAGGGCAGGTCAAATATGCATCACTCACTTACAAATGTATGCAGTCAAATAGGCATCAGAATCAGAATTTCTCAACTCCCAAATTTCACACATAAAACCTTTATATAATATTTAAAAGTCTGTTAAGCAAATTGGTCAGCATCCATTAATAAGCAACTATCTACAAAAGGGTCACTAACTGAGATAAAAAAAATGCTGCTGCTGAATATCTACATTATAGCCCATAATGGGTTGCCAAGTTTTTCTTTTTACATGACAGCAGTAGAAAGTACAAGCACAACTGTGGGTTTTGGAAGAATTTCAGAGTATTATTCCAATAAAAGTGGGGGGAGTATGATGTTGATCAAGAACACTTAGTAATGTTTTTATCATTTGGCAATTTGTCTCAGAAGAGAGGTTTTCAATTTGCACTTCTAAAGTTAGTTAATCTCTGCATGGCTAGAAAAGATACATTGGCTAACTTCAGGCAAACTACTTAGATGAGTTCTAGTTATATAATTCTTCTTCTCCCTAAAGATGTTTAACTTTAGCTGCACTACATGAGCACCATTATACAAACACATGAAGGTGTTTTAAACAAGACAGAGTATTGGTCCACAAAGTTCAATACAGTATTTACAGCAGCTATTCAAATGTTAAAGTGGTTGTGATAAGTGCCAGGGATTCTCCATTCCTATTACCTGGGCTCTTTCAGCTGAGATTAAATTAGATAGCTTTTGCCTTTCTTACATTCCCTCCCAGTAAAAGGAAGTACTAAAGATTTTCCACAGAGTGAAGAAACCCAATATCACTTATTACATATTGCTCTTTGTGGGGTCCTTGATGCTCTCTGAGCTTCATTGTTTTTGTGCAAACATTTCATTACCTGTATAAGTAACATGTTCAGTGCTAGAAGGCAGTGGAGTTTGTTCTGTATTTATATAGAGTGGCTTTCCCTCTTCTTCCTCTATATTTCTCTTCCTGCACCACCTTTGTGCGCAGGGTGATTGTAATCTAACTTCTGTTACTATCTGCCAGGATTGCATTAGTCCTCCTCTAGAGCAGGTTTATCCAGATTAATGTGCAACAGTACCAGAACAATTTGAGAAAAATAGTGGAGCATTTCCAAGACTGCACATGAATACTTTCAACCTGATAATTAGATGAACTGATCCTATTTTGAAATATTAAAGTATTTTCCCCTCCGCCCCGTTTCAGAATTTGAGTTAAAGGAAAATAAATTAGGCACCTGTCTGAAAAATCAAACTGAAAGGTGGAAGTTTTATATTACTAAGATGCTCTGCTCTTATCTGCAAACTCTATTCTTGCTGTCACAGCAGTCTGTGGCAAGCCCTATATGGTTCTTTCAATATTAATTTGCATCTCTTTTTTATCTGGAGGGTGACCATTCAGTTGAGTATCATACCTGTCTGAAAAAAACATTAATTGCAAGGGTTGAGTTTAGCAGCTGCACTGAAGTCCTCATATGAAAAATGTTTTGAGGATGCAAGCAAAAGCAAGAGCTATTTAGACAGATCAGAAAGCACTGTGATTCTCAAAGATTAGTGGTGATGGACATCAATTTTCATGCTCTAATGCTAATCTATATAGCACTTACTGCAGCTATTTCTAGTAATTTAAAGTTTAAGGCTCAGTTAAAGGTTATAATTACTGCAGATACAACAATTATACAAATTTACATTCCATATGTGAAACAAATTTCTTTTCAAATCTGGTACCTTGGATATTTGCATTAGATTGCCCAAATGTGTGTACTTAGATACTGAGAAATGAATGCATATGCATTTTTTAAAAAATTTCCTGGAATTAAGGTATTTAAAGCAGGGGCTTTTTTTTTTTTAGCAGATGGCAGAACCTAGTTGTTCTTGGCTGATCTCAAAAAAGCTAAGCAGAATTTAGATGGGAGATTATCAGAACATCCATCCAAGACAGAGGTAATGACTATGCCCATATTGTTGTGAAGAAAACAAATCAATATGTCTATGTAATCCCAAGAGATTGATCTTTGCTAACAGGAATACAATGTGCAATTACCAGTCAGCTATTAAATGTTCATACAATTGTATACCTGATATGTTAAATTGATGGCCTAAATGTGAGTGGCAAGGGCTACAGCTAGGCCTCTTCCAGATCCTTACTCCTACTTCTTTTTTAAAAAATAGCCACGTTAAACAGAAGGACAAATCATAAGGCTAGGATTTCCTTAGGAAATGGGAGTTTTGCCCCAGAAAAACATTGGTTGTGTAGTGATAACTTATATCAGAGAACCTTTTAATCACTCTTTTGGAATATGAATTTATTTAAAACCAAATGCTTGTGTGCATCTCTCTCTCTCTCTCTCTCTCTCTCTCTCTCTCTCTCTCTCTCTCTGTGTGTGTGTGTGTGTGTGTGTTTCATAAATATCCACCCCCTTCCTCAAGCTATACAAGGAAAAAACAAGAAATACAAGAAAAATAAGATGAGATGCTTTATGAGTCATAATCCCTTTTTTCATCTGAGAAGTTGCCATTTACCTGAAACACTTTGGAATGCAGTTATAGAATATTATTTACAGAACAATAATAGCCAAGAGAAATCTGAACTTCTTTTAACTTAATCATATGAATACACTTTAACAAAAGTACTAAAAAAAAAAAAGCTTCCTATCTGAGTGATGGTTCCGATATATTCTCATCTGGCCGGTGATGGAGGAAGAGGAGTGTGTGTTTGTTTGTTTACAGTGTGATAATTCAAGTTTCAGTTCATGGAATTGTATGGTCATAAAATGAACAGAAATTATAAACTTTTATTCTATGATTATTACCAGCATAACCAGTGGGGTGTTTGATATGGGTGGTATTCCATCAAATCAAAAGCAGTTCTATTTCTAATTACTGCAATTTTCTGTTTTGAAAATTTATATCACCAGTTTCCAGTGTTTGTATGCTGCATTTCACAAGTGGAAACTACATCGAATTGCTGAGAAACTTACTCTCTCTTTAGCTGGCACATGTTTCTGCTGGGAATTATTAAGCAGCTAAAAGGGCATTATCATTGTGCAAGGGACTTTGGAGAACTCAAGGCTGTAGAAGTACCATAAATATGCAGGGAGGAAAACCTAAATAATGAATGTTTTTCCTATATTCCCAGAAAGTCTTGATATGTTTGGAGTGCATGATATTCTGTGGAGAAAAGGAAACAGAAAATCAAGGGAAGAAAAATTATGTTGACAGAGCAGGATCACCACACTGCAATATTTTTTTAACTCCAGTTTGCTGATTCCATGAAGACTAGTCATTTCCATACTTGCCCTGTGAATGTGACCTTTTTCTGAAGATAATATTTAATAGGCACATGGCATACAAATGGGGTAGATTGTTGATGCTATTATACTAACACAATAGCAATTCTCCTTTCCTCCTTACATTTATATAAAAATTCAGAGAAGTCACAAGATGAAAGCTGATAATTTTGCAACCAATTTTGGCAATGTTGTATAGAGATACTTTGAAAATAGGGCTGAGGATTCACATGTTCCAGGGGCCACTGTTTACCCCATCTTAGAGAAAAAGCTATCACCTCCTTAACTATTCACTAGAACAGAGAGAAAATCTGAGGATTAATCCAGTTTTCTGTTTTCAGCAGGACCAAACTTAGATCAAATCATAAACATATGAAAAAATACTATATCTTACTGCCAGTATCTGATACATAGAGATATCTTAATTATCTAAATGGAGGCTCCATTTAGTTGTCACAATGTATAGCTACAAATAGACTCATACAATAATAATATCTTGATATCATGAAATTGTAATAGCAAATTAAGCATTATCAGAAACTAACTTTATCACATGAATCTACATCCCAACATTCTTTAGGAGGAAACAAATTATATTCATTATTCCCTCTATCATTTACCAGCACTGAATGACATCAGTTATTCTGTGCAATGACACCTGAATATACAAGAAAGGAAGATCTACAGAAACAGAAACAAAGTTTGTAAGCAATATGATGGAATGATGAGATTCCTGAAGATCATTTCTTACCACAACATGGTTGTAGATTCCAACTGTTTTCTTTGTAATTATAACTTTCCGATTCCACTTTAGTACAGGTTAGTCCTTGACTTACAACCACAATTAAGGCCAAAATTTATGTTGCGAAGTGAGACATCTGTTAAGTGAGCTTTTTATGATCTTTCTTGTCACAGTTATGAAGTGAATCACTGCACCTGTTAGTTTAGTAACATGGACATTAAGTGAATCTGGCTTCCCTATTGAGTTTGCTTGTCAAAAACTTGCAAAAGGTGATCACATGACCCTGGGGACACTGCAACTGTCATAAATATGAGCCAATTGCCAAGTATCCAAACTTTGATTATGTGGCCATGGGGATACTGCAACAGTCGTAAGTATGAAAAACAGTCATGA